ATATGGACATCTTTTTAAAATCATTGATGGACGTATAGACATAGTAACTTTAGTAGGGAGTCTTAAACAATGCACTAGTGCTGGTGACGAATTTAAGGTGATGTACTTGGCACTACTATTTGGCACGGTATTATTTCCAAGTACTCAACACAACTTGCCGGTACATTATCTGAATCCACTGGTTGTCATAGAGAATATTAAAGAGTTGAATTGGGCCGGTCTCATCCGAACAACTCTAAATGAAGGAATCAGAAAGTGGAAGAATACAGAACATGCATATATTGGTGGATCTTTGGTTTTTCTTCAGGTACAAATTTAATTAAGATTTAATCAAGGATATACAGTACAATAATTACATTTGAGACACTCGTTTCATAGAAATGATAATTGTTTTTTTTTTTTGTCATTTACAGGTGTTCTTCTTTGCGATCGTACACCCTCCTGGTTCACATTATGTTTTCAATTTAGCATTTGAAAGGCCTTTCATAACGTTTTTAACGAAACAAAGGGTTAATTCATTGACTGATGATATACACAAAGATGTTCCATACTGGAATGCCATGGTAGCTTATTTAAAATATTTTTCTACCTTTTGAATATTTTATTGAAAAAAGAATATTTACACTTTGTGTTCGAACTTTTTTATAGGAATGCTACTTTGCTTTGAATGAAATCTCCACGCCGAACCCCGTGGATGAGACAAAAGTGAGAAAAGAAGATATTGATACAAGTGAAAATGAATTGAACGAAATACATGATGTGAGGGGTGAAGAGTTCATGGATTTCAATGTGGATTTAAATGTGTTAGGTGATCATCGTGTACATGGAGATTCACCTAGTGATCGAGAAAAATCATTGAACAACCAAGGTGAAACTCGTGAATTGAAAGAGGATGTGGTCTGCAATTATCGGGTCACCCAACAAATCGGGAATGCATACGATGACTCTGACATAAAAAATCAATTGTCGCTGTTGATTGCACGAGTAAGTAATATCGAGAGACAAGCAAAGTATGTACAAGATGACTTTTTCATAAGAAATCAATTATCATTGTTTGGTGCACGATTAAGTGGTTTCGAGCAACAAATGACTCAGTTAATGAATACCATGGGTGAGGTGCTGATCCGATGTGTCACCCGATCTGCCAGTGGAGATCAATTTGGGGACCAGCCAAGTAGTCAAGAAAATGTTGATAAATTCAAGGATGTACTTAAAGAACTGAAAATTTTAGAGTTAAAAATTCCATCAATGATATGGGATACATGGGATGTAATATGTCGCAAGGCAAACAATGCACACATATCATCAAACGTTACCGGACAAAAAATCGAGGTAGATACCGTATTGAAAAAAAAAATAGACGAAGATACCGCGTTGAAGCAAAAAATAGAGAAATATATCGCATTGAAGAAAAAAATAGAGGAAGATACTGCGTTGAAGCAAAAAATAGAGGAAAATACTGCGTTTAAGCAAAAAATAGAGGAAGATACTGTGTTGGCAAAAAAACTAGAGAAAGATACCGTGTTGGAGAAACAAATAGAGGAAGATATCATTTACATCCACGAAAATGAACAACTTATTAGCGCAAAAGAGAAAGAAAGTCCAATAAACCCTATAGGAGCAGACTTCGACGCCATAATCAAATTCTTGTTTGATCCAAACTTGGATCAGAGGTAAGGCAAAAAATAATAATATGCATGTTTAATACATTTTTTTTAATTTTCTTTTGTCTCATATAATTGGGCAGTACTTGGGTGATAAACTTTGGAGGACGAGGATGCAACAGGAAGAACTTGATGGGCTTGAAGCCTTGTGAATTCATAGATGGAATTGTAAGCATGCTCATAACCCTTTCCTTTTTTTAACCAATAATATTTTGAGACTTGTCTACTAACTGTACATAAATAAAATATTTGAAATGTAGGTGATAGATTGTGTAGCATTTTTGTGCACACGAAAAAGTATAGAGGGTAGAATGGAAGATGCTCGATGGTACTTCCCCGCAATATTTGCCGTATGTCTATGTTTAATCTAATTTTTCAATAACCCCATTCGATAAAATTTTTAGTTTTTGTATTATAAGTATTCATAATTTATTTTGTTGCAGCAACTTTGTTTGACTGGATATTTTCCCGATGAGCATATCATAAACACCATTGATTATTGTACAAGTCGAATGGATGATTGTTATCAGATATACTTACCAGTAAATGATCTCCGTGGTCACTGGTTCCTTGCAATTATTGACTTTGATAACAAAGAGGTCAACATTTGTGATTCAGCAGCATCGAGAGAATCAAATAATTATAGGAGAGATTTACTCGATCAAGTGGTTGGTTAAATATTTAAAATTATGTCTAAGCATAATTCAAATTGTCCTATTTATATATTTTTTAATTGCAGATTATTCGAATGGAGCATTTGATACAAAAATGGAGACCATAGGAGTACGCAATTAAAAACATTAAAGATAGTTTTCAGTTATGCATATCCAGACTGGTTCCTGACTACCTAACGGTATATATATATATA